AGACATAGATACAAAATCAGGAGGCTTTTGTCAGGTCTGTGCCAAACTATTTAGAACATGTGACACAGCATCTCCTGAGGTGAGGATCTTGGGGAGGTAGACTACCTAGGAAGAATTACAGTTCCTTCTATTTTCTCCCAAAGTAAGAGTCTGGCCCTTGGCTCATGACTGCTAATGGGGCCAGTGTGCTCCATGGTTGTATGGTCACAAATTTATCATACCTCTGCAGAGCCCAGTGGGTATTATGGAGGTACTTAGAGGCTCCCAAGGTTTGAGTGGGAATCAGTCTGGGGAAGTGTTGATATTATGTCATCTATATATTTTTCTTTTATTTCTGTCCACAGTCCCTGGATCACTACTACCATAGCCCTTGTTATTTCCTAAGTGACTAGATCGATGTCAGGGCATTTAGGCCTCAGAGGCAGGCCTCACAAAGCAAAGTCTCTCTAACCATCTCCTGCCCTCCTTTCACCTACTCCTTTTTCTTCCCAAGGCAAGCCATTAAAACTCTAATCTTAAATTTTCTGATCTATTTTGCTTGATAGTAGATGATAAGCCCCCTCTGTTATGGTTCATATTTGAAGTGTTCCCCAAAAGCTCATGGGTGAAAAAATGCAAGAATGTTCAGAGATGAAATGATCAGATTATGAGAGCTGTAAACTAATCAACCGATCCACTGATTAGATTGGTAACTGTAGGCAGGTGGCGTGTGGCTAAAGGAAGTAGGTGACTGGGGACATGCCTGTGGAGCTTTCTTCTACTGGGCCCTTCCCCCATGATATCTGCTTCACTTTGAGCCCAGAGGAATGGAGCCCGCCATCTACGGAGTGAAACCTCTGAAACTGTGAGCCCCCAATAAACTCTTCCTCCTCTAAGTTGCTCTTGTTGGGTATTTTGGTCACAGCAATGCAAAATCCAAGTAAAACACTCTCATTTCAGAAAAGGGTCCTGCCCCATACCTCTTAGGAAGAAATGCTGAAGATGTGAACAGACAGGTCATATCCTTTGTGTTCATGTTTCAGTCATGTCTTTGCAATGAAGTCCCCATAAAAACCCAAAAGGACAGAGTTTGAAAAACTTCCAGATGGTTCCTAGAGGATGGGTGTGCCCAGACCTTGCCTATGCATCTCTTTGTATCCTTTGTAATACCCTGTATAATAAACTAGGCAAGGTAGTGTTTCCCTGAGTTCTGTGAGCCACTTGAGCAAATTAACTGGATCCAAAGAGGTGGTTATAAGAATCCCAACTCATAGCTAGTTCATCAGAAACAGGTAAAATGACCTGGGGGACTGGTGAATGGTACCTGAAGCCGGGTAGGGAGCAGGTTTGTGGGACTGAGTCCTCAACCCGTGGCATCTGATGATACCTCCAGGTAGACGGGGTCAGAACTGAATTGAAGGCCATTGAGCTGATGCCTGTAGTTGCACCATGGCTTGCTTGGTATCAGAAGTATGTTGTCAGGGTTTTAGTAGAAGAAACTGATTCTGAGTTTGAGTTCATTTTTGCTTCTCAGAGGTGCATGATTTTGTGGCTCACAGAAGACGGTGATAAGGAACATCTGCCCTGAATGTTCCCAGGGCAGCCTGGGAGAGCCTCCTGAAGCATGGGGTAAAAATCATGAGTCCCAAAACTTCTTGTTGATCCCTGAGTGCACAACAAGGCCTTTCAGCTCCCCCGAGTGTGGTTTGTGACTCTTCCAGATCCATGCCCCGTTGCCCTCGTCTGCTGGCCTCGCAGTGCCTGACAGGTGTGTTCGTGTTCACACGCACACCTGTCTCACTTGCTGGCTCCCAGTGCTGCCTCACTCCGCACCAGAGTCAGCCAACACCAGGACCAGCTCCAATGCCCCATCCATGAAATATCCCCTAAGTACCCCCCATGCCCCACTTCCCTCACCCGCAGTTTGTTGTGCTACTTCTTGCTGCTCTCACTTTTGTGCTTCCCAGCAGCTTAGGACAGTCCCAAGTGGGCAGTCCAAGAAAGTCTGAGATCTGTTGACCTGGAACTGAGAGTCATCTTAATCCCAGGCAAGGGAATGAGAACAGGGACCTCGATACTGTTCAGGTGTGACCATTGTCAAGCCTTAATAGCTTTCAATATCAAGGCACAGAAATATCCATGTTTTGTTGTTTGGTTTCTTGGGTACTGGGGATTAAAACCCTGGGGTGTTCTACCACTGAGCTACATCCCCAGCCCTTTTTATCCTTTTATTTTGAGACAATACTCACTAAGTTGCCCAGGCTGGACTCAAACTTCTGATCCTCCTGCCTCAGCCTCCCCAGTAGCTGGGATCACAGACGTGTGCCACCATGCCAGGCTATCCACCCATTCTGAGATGCTAAAGAAGCATACCCACCGAATTGTGTGATACATTGGAAGCCAGAGATCACCACTGATCCTTGCCTCCTTGCTTGAAGTTGAGCCTTGGGGTCTCCCGATTAACTTTCATCACCAACACCGTGTGCTTCCTAATCCTCACCAGTTCCTTCCAGGCACCGTCAGGCTCTGCAGATGACCCTCACACATAACCCCCCCGGGGTCTACAGCCCAGGCACATACACACTCTCAGAACAGATCGACAATATGGAAACTTCAGCACAATTCATCTTCCAGCTGTCTGATAAGGAAGCAGCTTCTCCTCTGAATAAGTATGAATTAGCTAATGCTGAGCTGGCAGAAACATTCAGGCCATATCCTGCGTTGAGTGAGCCTTCCCTCCTCCACCTATTCATCCAGACATTAATTCTAGGTCTCTCTGTGGCACTCAGGGTTGAATCCTGTGTTAAAATGCCGGTGGTGTAGTAACTGCAGGAAGGCACATATAATTTCCCTGTCAGAGTGGTTTTAATGTCCTCTTTCAGTGGCACATGAGACATTAAAGGAAAGATAAATGGCTATGGGTCCCCAAAAATCTGTGGAGTCAACACATGCATGAGAAACTATCACTTTAAACTTTAATCCTGTTAGCCAAGGAGCAAAATCTATTTTTATTGCTCATGAGCAATGGTCCTAAATTGATTATAAGGCAGTAGGCTTCAGGAAAAAGAAGCTCCCCCCACAAACTGCAGTCCCCTCAGGGCTCAGGAAGTACACTGAGGACTTCAGTGTAGAGGGGGAATGTGAGGGGGTTGGTGGGCTGGGGACAGAGCTTGAATGAAAAGACAGGACGCAAGAGGCTTGTGGCATGGTGACCACACTGGCACTACCATCCTAGATCCGGGAGTGTGAGGGTCTCAAGCCTGAGGATAAAGGAAACTCGGGTCCTTCCCACACCTCTCCAGGGGTGCAGGGAGTTGCTCTGTGTTGCTGTTGTAGGTGAGGTCATTTCTGGTGAGATCGCGAGCTAATTACAGCCTTTATTGCTTGCTTTCCATTGCCGGGTTCTTTGCTGAACACTTTATAGGGAGCAAATATGTCCTTTAATCCTCCTGGCGTCTCTGTGCAGTAGGTGCTCTCCCTCCCTTTATAGACCAGGAAAAGGAGGTCTCAGAGAGATTGAATCACTGGCCCAAGACCAGCAGCTCCTCACTGGTAGAACTGGGCTTGAAACCCAGAGACAGTCTGGTTCCAGAGCCTGCGCTCACCTCAGCCACCACACTTTTAATAGCATTTTGGCCTAATGAAAACTGCTAGTGTAATATCCAAAAGGTTAGAATAATAACAACAATAATAAAAGTTCTCTGTCTCACTGATTCACTAGGGATCTGAGGAAAATGCCCTTGATCTTGGTTTCTAGTCTATAAAAGAATAAATAAGCCACTCTTCACCCACCCACCCCTCGCGTGTGTACTCACGCATGTGTGTGTTGTTGTTGTGTTGTTGTCTGTTTTGCAGTACTGGGGATTGAACCCAGGGCTTCACCCATGCTAGGCAAGCTCCCCACATGAACTATGTCCCCAGACCTTTTAAATTTGATTTTGAGACTCACTAAGTTGCCCAAGCTGTCCTGGAACTTGGGATTCTCCTGCCTCAGCCTCCAGAGTAGCTGGGATTCCAGGCATGCACCACCACTCCTGGTGTTTTGAGAACTAACGAATAAGTCATCAGGACTCAAAGAATCTTAGATGGTTGAAGATGTTTAGTTAAATAATGTGTGCAGCCGGACATGGTGGTGCACACCTGAAATTCCAGCAACTCAAGAGGCTGAGGCAGGAGGATTCTCAAGTTCCAGGACAACCTAGGCAGCTTGTGGAGGAAACTGGTCACCAGCCTTTTGCCTTTGAGAAACAAACATTCTTCTCCAGTTGCTGTGGTGAAGAGGGAATTTGGTAAATTGAGGAAATTAGTTCTATTTCCTTCATCCCTACTAGTTACACCTCTCTCATTTCCTCTTCTGCTTTTTTTTTTTTTTTTCCTGGATCTTTTCCACTAGAAGCTGGAAAACAGCAGTGGACTCCAAAATGGTTTCCTTATGAGGTTCTGGAAGGGTGTTCCAAAGTGTCGATTTGTAGACCATGGGCTAAAAAAACTTTTATTCTTTAAAGAAATGTCAACCACCGAGGCATGTGTAGTAACCTTGTGTGTTTTCCCAGGAAAGTGATAATTCTTACTGTGAACTGCAGTACCAGGTAGCATTTTGAAAGATTAAGGAGAAAATGGTCTTGAAATTACATATAGCCATAAGGGAAAGGTATTGTGAAAAATGGTCCCAGAAATCTTTCTGGAACCTCCACTTCCTTTCCTGTCCTCATACTGTGCTGTGCCCTGAAGAGTAATTTATGCTTTATCCATCATTTCTACGTTTGTCATGGGATGTTCAACCCACCGTATGGACCATATTTTACCTTTTCCATTTATTGCAACTATATGAAAATATTTTTCGAACACCATCAGAAACTGAAAGTGACTTTGAAAATGAATGGATTTGTTAAGGGTAAAGATAATGGGTTCATAGTCACCATCTTTCTGTACTTCCCCCCTATTCTGTGTTATCACTCTATTGTCTTCACAACAATATTTTAATGAATCATTATATTTTTTACTATTGTCTTTTGTTTCAGAATGCTTATACTACCACTGCCATTAACGGGACAGATTTTTGTACATCAGCAAAAGATGCGCTCAAAATTGCATCCAAGAATTCAAGTCATTTTACACCCATTAACTGCTTTGGAGACTTCATGATTTTTCTAGGAAAGGTGAGATGTCTTGACTAAATAAAGAAACATGGAATTCCAAAAATTAAGTCACATAGCAGTCTGAAAGGAATGAATGTTTCTTGTGTACTTGCTTTATAATAAATGCTGTGCTCCATTGTCTCATTTATTCCTCAATCCTGCAAGGTAGTCCTGTTTTACAAATGATGAAACTAAGGATCCCATATTGGTAGGGTCAGGATTTAATTCTGTTCTTACTATTTTTTTTTTACCTGTGACCTATTGTCTCTATCATTCTGATTCTCACTTTTTCAAGTCTAAAATGAAAATGCTGCTAACTTCAGCAAATAAGTATGTTTTTGTGGGTTATAAAAACACAGAAATAAGGGAGCTGGCAATATAGCTCAATTGGTAGAATGCTTGCCTATCATGCACAAGGCCCTGAGTTCAATCCCCAGTGCCACAAAAAACAAACAAACAAAAACAACAACAACAAAAACTAATATTGATTTGATGAAACTTGTACGTTATTTAACAGTAATAATTCTATAAATAAGGTAGATTATTAATATCACAAGTGGAGCCAAAGTTCCATGTCTATTGTCATCTGAATAATTTTTTAAAAAGGAATTTATCATAGTCTGTGGAGTAAAGGAACATCTTAGAGCTCCAAAATTTTATGGTGCAAAGGACAGAGCCCTGAGCTTGGAAGCTTTCACAACTCAGAAGTTCAGTTTTCAGATCTATCACATAATGATAACCCATGCGCTGAGCTATAGGGAAGAGTCACAGAAATGATTATGAAAATGGCACAAGCCTGCCCCCATGGCCTGACCACAATGTTTCCTTAGGTTTTTCTTGCTGTGCAACACAGTATGTCTCTTTCCATGTAATTTTCACTCAGTGGGTCTGCGCATCTCAGGTTGCCTGATTCCACTTCCTCTTGACTACAGTTCAGATTCTTGACTACAGACACTCGCCCAGTCCCCTCTAGCCCAAGCTAAGCTCTCTAGTCTGTGCATTTTCCAACCATTCCCTCCACATGTGACATGAATACGTTGGTTTTCAGCAGTGCCCACAAGTTAATAAGGTCTTGGTCACCAGTTGTAACCTGGCCAGTGTAAAATATGGGGACTGTGTTCTTCATTTAAGATTTTGTGCTTCTGTGGTATTTGGTTATATCTCTGTTACCATCATAGTTACCTGTCAGTAACCAGTTGTAACTTGCTTGGCTTTCACAGGGGTGTTAATTGCATTTATATTTAAAGCTCAGCAAGGCCTCAGAGACCTTTCATGTGACAGTAGCAATAGAAGCACAAAATAATTATGCCTTTCAAATCAGCCTACGTACAATGAACTCTACAGTTGTATGTGTGCTTGTTTATTTAGCACTGGGGATTGAATCCAGGGATACTCTACTGATGAGCTATATCCCCAGCCCTTTTTGAGATAGGTCCTCATTAAGTTTCCAAGGCTGGCCTCAAACTTGAGATCCTCCTGCCTCAGCCTCCCAAGTAGCTGGGATTACAGTCATGTGCCACGCTACTCAACCTTATAGTATTTAAGTGGATAATACTGTTTATATTATGCTGACTTGGTAGGATTGTGGGTTATATAGTTTCTATAACTACTTCCAAAAACTTTAGGAATGAGGTCTCATCTTTTTTAATAGACTCATTCTATTTTACATTAGAATTTATCTTTTTATATTTTCCATAAGAAATATATAATGACCCATGAGTTTTTAATAAATATGTGATATCTGGTGATTCTTAGGGTTTTGTTTGTTTTGCCATCCTGATCAAATCCGGGAGCTTGTGTACAATTCTTTGGGTTTTTTTAGTGAAGTAGCATTCGGGCATCCTTGATCATCCGGGCACAACAGGACCCTAGACAGACTCCATTACATCAGTAAATGAATTAGGTACATCATGGTCTATAATTATATGCCTTGAAATGTAATAATTGCATATCATAAAAGCCTGAAATAATCCTATTATCTCTCCACACCAGCATTGGAAAACCCACTTTAATCCCTGGGGTGGGGGGTAAAACTAATAACTTGTTCAATTACAGTGCATCCACTCAGTGGATCGTTGCACAGTTTGAAAGTTATTTTTATAAAAAAAGCTCATAAGTAGAAATGCTTATTGGGATATTAAGTGAAAAACCAGAATAAAAATTTGGGGTATTGTTACATCTGCATAAAGATTAGGCATGGACAAAATTCCGGTATATTTATCTTCCAACCCACTCCCATTAACTTTAAACACAAATCACACACACAAAAATGATGACTTGGAACTGGGGGAAAAATCATTACAAAAATATCCTAATTGATTTATAATTTTCAACAAACTCTCATTTCAAACAGGTGTTGGTGGTGTGTTTCACCGTTTTTGGAGGATTGATGGCATTTAACTACAACCGTGTGCTCCAGGTGTGGACAATTCCCCTGTTACTGGTCGCCTTTTTTGCCTACTTAGTCGCTCATAGTTTTTTATCTGTGTTTGAAACTTTGCTGGATGCACTCTTCCTATGTTTTGCTGTTGATCTGGAAACAAATGATGGATCCTCAGAAAAGCCCTACTTTATGGACCAAGATTTTTTGGTAAGCAAACGGTTCACGTTATGTTGAAATCTCCAGCCTCACAATCTCAAAAGGCTCACATACAAAGGAGGCTCATCAAGCCTCAGTTCTCACCCAGAGGACTCTGTGGGCTTCTGCCACCATAGCCTGTCCATCCAGAGTTGAAATTTTGGCTCAGCTTTCCAAGGCTAAACTATCTCCCTTACTGAAACCTTCTCCCTAGAGAAAAGTGAAGCTGACAACAATTAACACTGATTGGATAGGTTCCTCGTAGGAGCAGTACCTAAGGACCCTGGGTAGAAGGTATTCTGGACACAGCTGTAGTCCGTGTACCTTTCCTGTTCATGGTGTGGACTGGCCTCTTGGGCAGTCTAGGAAGTTTAACAATGATTGTTTTTTTTTTTTTTCAAAGTCAGTGAAATTCTTTATTTTCTTTATTGTAGCAATGGGTACAAAAAATATTAGTTATTTGCCCAAGATTACATGGTTATCACATAGTTAACTTAGATGGGTTTTCTAAAGCAGTTGCATATCCCCCAATGTCACATCATATGCACTGAGCTTTAGGGAGAGCTGGCTCCAATGTAGACTAATTGCCTTCTGTGCCAATATTGACAGATCTGCAGCCCTCAGGCCCTTTATTAACCAAGGCACACCCTCTGCTCACCTCCCCCTTCCATGCCGCTTATATCTGGAAATAGCAGGCAGCTGTTTCCAACAGCTTTTCAACACAGTTGTTGCTGGTTTGCCTTATCCTGTGTAGACAGGGATGTTTTAACAACCGAATAATGCCTCATCTTTCGGTTGTCAAGGTCATGTGACCTTTTAATAATTTTCTTTCCTTCTGTTGACGTAAAACTTAGGTTAAAGCCCGGTTAGCTTTCAGTGGTGCTCAAAACACTCAGTTCTACAGGCACTGAAGTTTAACAAGCATTTCTATAGTTTTAAATTAATCTCAATTCTAATCCACATAAAAATATAATTTTTACTTGTTTGACTTATTTGTATGAGCTCTAAAGGAAGTGCTTCTGAAGATGGTATGAGGCTAGCTTGGTCTTCTTTCCCTAATTTTATACTGTTCCAGTTAAACATTCACTCTGAGCCAGGCCAGTAGCACCTGTAATCCCAGAAACTTGAGAGGCTGAGGCTGAGGCAGCAGGATCAGAATTCGGGGCCAGCCACAGCCAAGTCAGAGAGCCCATCTCAAAAATAAAATAAAAAAGAGGTGGGGATTTAGCTCACTGGTAAGAGCTCACCTGGGTTCAGTCCCTAGTATGGGGGTGGGGCGTCACTTTGAAATCTATCCCTAAAATATGTTGATTCAACAGAGAAAATTTTAAGGATTCAGTTCCCCCAAGCTTTATGGCCAAGAAACCTAGTAAATGGTTACCAATGGTGCAGATACATTCACTGGTCTCACTCACTGTTTTGTTTTTCAGAATTTTGTGAAAAGGATCAACAGAGTTAACACTGCAAGGGCTCAGAGAGACATGGACTCATTAAGGACTGAAGAAGGAACAGAACTCGGGCCCATTGTGAGATAGCAGCCCAGGAGACATTTGTACCTGGAGGAAGTGACCTTCAGAATCACTGACAGAATAAAAAGTTAAGATAGACCCTATTCTTCCTCATTGTTTTTGCTTTTGTTTGACCACATTACAATACTGTAACCATAAAAGTTAGTCTTTTTTGTACCATGTAGGACAGAAAAACTATTTTTATAATGCATCAATTTAAAAAGCACAATATATATGGGCTGGGGACATAACTCAGTTGGTAGAGTACTTGCCTCGCACGCACAAGGCCCTGGGTTCAATCCCCAACACCAAAAAAAAAAAGGCACAATATGTAAACATGCATCTGAGTTTATGAGGGTTTAACTGTAAATAAAAATTTAAAGACTGAATGTTATCAGAAATCTCTGGAATGTGGCTCTTATACAGGGAAGGACCTTTCCCTACTCATCTAATCCTGGAAATGAGTATGATTATTTTCAGAGTATAATTATTAGTGACATAAAAACCCAAAGTTTGAACTCTTAATTAGAATAGGGCATACACAGGAGACAAGGCAGAAATTTAACCAGATATAACTTAGCTGGTTAAAAGCACTAGGCACTTTTACAAATTAGCATACATTCTGGGAAAGCAGTTTTCAACCACAGTCCCACCTGAGAATTGCCTGAAGGAAGATTTTTTGGGTTACTTATATCTGCGCCCCACCTGAGATTTAGATAGGGTTAGGGGAGAGTTTTCCCTTTTTAAAGCTTTCAACAAATAGGAATACTTAACATGTTGATTAGCAGCTTTATTTGTTACATGACTAGGTAGAATTAATCACCCTCCTAAGAGGATGCTCAAACTGATTTACTTGGCAGGGCAGGTAGGAAGATGTAGGGCTTCCTTCCCTTCCCTAAATGTCTCTTCAAAGATGACAAGAAACAGCCTGACTGATCAGGTCTACATTAAATACAATTTTTTTCTTGTTAGCACTGAGTTAATTTAGTTTAGAAGTCTCCTTTATGAAAGGGATTTGCAGAGCAGTTTCTCAGAAACATTAAACTTGGTCATAAGAATTACAAGCAGGTAAACTTCACTTTTATGGATTCATCAAAACATCCTCTCCTTATTTGCCTTAGCAAAAAATAGACAGGCACTTTTTATCCCCAAGCCTAACAGCCAGTTCTATCAGAAGTCACTTGACTGGGACAGTGTCAGAAAGTGTGAGTTTCCAATTTCCTTTAGTGACTATATTCTTGTCATTTTGACATTTCACTGTTGTCATGATAGAAGGTTTAGGTTTGACTATAAACCCTCGGTTATTATTGAACAACACATCCTGTTTCTGACCCAGAATGTTTCTTATTTTCCTTAGGATATAATAAAATTCCCCCCTGCCCCCATCATAATTTCTGAAGATGATTTTAAGATTATTCCAAGTTGAATTTAAGATGAAACTGCGTCTGCCAATCACAGTGAAATCAATAAGATCAGATATTTCCTGGCAGTCATTTACTATGTGCAATGGGCAGGTCCCTTTATTTTTCTAAGCTTCATTCTCCTGAAGCATGGAGTGCAGTGTTATGTGGATTAACTAAAATATCTTATCACAGCAGCTGGGAGAGAATATTTTTTCCCCAATTTAACTCTGCCTATCTGGAAGCTAGCCAGAAAATAATCAGCCTGTGGTTCATATGAATGTTCAAAAAAAATATTTATTTATAAAAAATACAATGGGATAAGTTTATGCTGAGAAATGCAGCAATAAATACAGTTGGAGAAAACAGAGCAACTCTACATCGATACATTGGCACAAAAGAAGATTTTGCAACCGCACCACCCAGACCTAAATGTTTGCAGGCCGTTTTCTTACATGCTCCTTTAGAAACACCACTCTGAAAAGATCTTGTCAGCTTAAGGAAGAGAATGAGTACACATATAATCACAAATGCACACTGATCATGACTTTATTTAAAAATTAGCAAACAATACTGTAGAAACAATGATATGTAAATTTCTAAAATGCTGCATCTTAGAAGATTTAGTTGGCAAAGACCACATTTAGCAATAAGCATGAACTTAAGTCTTCCATGTAGAAACCAGATACACTAAACTGTAAAAAAAAAAAAAAAGGTTCCCTATTGTTTGAAAATACAGTAAGATTGTAAAAATGTATAGATCTTTAATAAAAGAACTGGCTGTACAAGAGTACTCCCCTTTCACAGTATTCCTTTTTACTTCATATGCAAGTTATTGGTTATGCTGTAGGATTTAACTGTTACAGCACTAAAAGGCAACTATTTAGGGAAGAGGCAGAAAAAGGAATGTATGTAAGGCAAGTTTTTTGTTTTTTTTTTTTTATTTATTTTTAAAGGTACAATAAGCATAATAGTGTTTTAGGAAGACAAGATAAAAATTACTCAAGGCTAGCTTGGTTCTCACTGAATAAAAACAATGGACTAAATACTGAACTCCTCCACGAGAATCTAGTAATCAATGCCTTGGTCACCATACTGGTAATCTCTGGGGTAGTCATCTTGATACTCGCCATGGTACTCATCTGGGTATTCTGCCTGATAATCACTATCACTGATTTCTGAACCATTTGTTCCCGTGCCTTGGCTTCCATTGTGAATGACAGGTTCTGTCGGAGCAGCACAGTATTTGGGATCATACACTTGCCGCCCAAGCCCATACACACTCATGCCTTTCTGGGAAGCAACTTTGTTGGTACCCATCTGTAGAGAAATTGTCGAGTTGTCCACTGGCTGTAATGTCAGCTTTTGATCGTAGATGTCTCTTCTGGTACCTGGTGCTAACATCCCCGCCTGGTAGCAGAACATAGTATTAAAAGTTGAAATGGCAACTAAAATCTATTCTTGTCAATATTTTATAAATTATGAAATTTAATTTGGTTCAGAGGTAAAGCTAGCTTGACATCTAGATAAAACTAGATGTCAAATCATGGTTTTATTGCCATATTCACTGCCTTTCAAACAAGCTCAGACTATCCTTTGAATCCTTGCTTTACTATAGTATTGCTATTGGCCTCAACTAAGTTAACTTACTTTTAGTTTTAGGTTCTCATCTGCAAAATGGAAACAAGACTACCTACTCTGGGCCCAGGAGAGGATAAGACAAGCAGAATGTAAAATCAAAAGCATAATGCTGACACACCTCAAAGTCACATTTGAATGCGTATTATGACCACACACCCTGGTCCAGCTTACCAATTTTTAGCATTTACAATTCATTCAGCAAAAACTATGCTTCAGCATACCTTGAGGACTTCAGTCTCTTCAAATGGCTCTGGATCACAGAAAAGCCAAGCACTTCAAAAACAGCTTGCCCCCATCTTTTTCAGGATAATATAACTCATACCTCAGTTTCCCATTTAGGTTAAGCACACACTTTCAGATGTAAAGTGGGTGAAAAAGCAAACACTTGAGTGGTAGCAAGGAAAAACTGTGGTGGGACATGTATCATTTAGGGCAAGTAAGTCACATCTTGGGGTCAGTGAGAGAGGATTTTGTTGCTTGTGGAATCATCTGAGGTGCTGTAATTTATTTTTAACAAGGAAGTACTTTATCTTGGATGTGGGGTTTGAATGCTGGTGTTTTCACTATGCTGCATTCCCATCTACTATTTACGAACTACTTTATTACTATTTTAGGAACTATTCAGCATTTCATAGGAATGCTAATTAGCACTTAATAGAAAGAACATCAGGTAATTTTATCTATCAACTTAAAAGGGATCCTTCAAAAGGCCAGCACTTAAATGAGCAATCTTTTACATGGATTTTTGAGCAATAACTCTAATAAACATAACTTTTTTTTTCTCCTGGTTAGGTAGAAAGGTTGGCTGTTCTAATTGCCAACAAAAAACATAAGCCAGACCATACTTTCTTTGCTGTTGTAAAAGCCCTTTATGTTGCTTTCCTAGCAAAATATACTTTCCTGATGCATACACTCTAAATATACCAAATATATCTACTTTGAGCTTTTAGTTAATAAGGCAAGTGCTCATTTAAAATAACCCTTTTTTACTCTTTGCCATAAGTATTAAAAGTTATTGCTTACCTGACTGGCTCCTTTGTTGGTGCCCATCTGGAGACTGATTGTGGTCTGGTCAAAAGGTTTGTCAGTTTGCATTTTGGGATCATAAAGGTGCCTCCTAGTCCCATAGGCTGTCATGCCTGCCTGACTGGCACATTTGTTGGTTCCCATCTTTTAAATTAAAAATAAAATTAGCATTAGTTATCAGAAGTCAACAATATAAACACAAAATTCTGTGGTACTAAAAAGATGGAAAGTGGACTGAGGGTGTAGCTCAGTGATAGGAGTGCATGCTTAATATGTAAAGGATCCTGGATTCAATCCCCCCCGACACACACAGATACACACACAATGATGAAAAGATACAACTGATGAGCTCTTGAGCCTAGTCTCTGGTCAAGTAGATACAAACTCTCCTTTATGCTTTTGCAAATAAATTTCTAATAATTTTAAAAAGAAAGTTTTCAAAAAATTCACAGTATCTAGAACTTCATAGCATAATTAACCATAAACTTGCACAATGAAAACACTGAAGGATGTATGTTATTAAAATGGCAGAATAACAAATTCCTCCTATTCTCTGTAGCACAGATAACCAAATTAAGGGGTATCTGCTTTAGTCACAGAAGCAGACAAAAGGCCAGGCAATATGCCTTCCTACTTTAGCTATGGTTTACATAAAACGGAAAGGCAAATGCCAGTCATTGTCTCTGGGAGCTTAACAAGTAATTCTTTAAGTTTCAAAACTGCCAACATTTTCATGGGAAAGGGATCACGTTTTACTCCTTCAACTCTCATACGCTAGCCAGAGCAGGAAAGAGGCAGAATGAGGAATCCTAACTCTACCAAGTTCAGAGAAACAATAATTAACTTCTCCACACAGAACTATATGGCTTCAGGACCAACCAGTACACCCTGTTCTACTGGCTGGAAACAAGTTTCTACCGCCCCCCCCCCACCTTAAAAATAATACTGAATAAAGAAAACCTTTATCACTAAAAGTAAAACCCATTCATTAGAAAAGATTCAGAAAATATATATTAGCAAAACGGAAAAGGAAAAAAATATTATTGTAATACTACCATCCACACATTTGCTGTTATTTGTGAATGACTTTTAGCTTTTCTAAAAAAAAGGCAGGGGGGTGTCTGTGTATATATCTGTAGCGATGCATACAATAAGCACACACATTTACATACAAGAATATGCGTGCACACTTTTTAATTAAAAAAAAGCCACACTGATCATAGTATTTTATAACCTAATTTCTTTTCCTTAGGCTATTTGTCAAACACAAGTGTATTTTTACATTACAAGCTCCTTTATGGAGTTATAATTTAACCTACTATTATACTATTTAGAAATTGAGGTTCCAATTTCCCAACACTTATATACTTTATAAAACTAAATCCACCTCACATAGATTCAATTGGGCAGTGCATTCAGCAGGTATGAGAGAGTGAAGCCCATAGTACTTAGGCAATGATGTTTCTGTGACACTCAGGGGACAATGTGATGAGAAAAAAGACATCTTAACCAAGTATTTACCAAGAATTAAACCAATAACAGGGCTTAGTTGCTGTATGCTTTACTAGGGTAAATAAATGACTCTGGCATTAAGGTTTTGTAAAATTGCTTCATTTGGCTGATAATATTTAGGAATTAAAAAAGTACATTTTCTTAAAAATAATAATATGTTCAGGAAAAAAATTCTTTTCCTAGAGACACCATTTTCAAGTCAGATGACATACCTTAAGTTTCTTTAAAAACCATCATCACTGTCTCATAGACTTTAAAGAGATATAAATTGTTTAAACACATTACATCCCAGAAATCCACATTATAGTACTTCTATCTAGGCTTTACTTATGAGAGATTTAACTTTTGCACAGCAAGGATTAATGGCATTGAACAAGTAAGTAACTCAAAAGCAACACCACTTCACTTACCTGCAAACCAATCACACTCTGGCCAGCCTTTAACTTCCCTTCATCAAAACGCCTTGTTTGTTTTTCTGCATACTTAACTCCAATATCAATGGATGTATGGAATCCTTTTGTTTTAGCCTAGGCAGAAATATAGTACTGAGAAGCAACCCTCAGATATTTTGCTGGCAATGTTTTATAAAAATGATATGTCTTACATTTTACAAAAAATGATATGTCCACAGACACAGGCTTCATTTTTGTGAGACCAAACCGAAGGTAAGAAACATATATAAGACTATTCAGCTGCACTGTCCCCTCTGATCCCCAAGGGCTCTAATTAACCTATCTAGTATAAGGCAGCTGATGTCAGCAGCATTCCATAAAGCTAACAGTTACAGAAGAGACAGCCCCTCTCCACCTGGTCTGAACCCCCAAGGGAGTACAATGATGCAATTCATCACCAATGTATGGGGGATTCTTTTTTAAATGAACATTGAAAGTCATGTACGTACCAGACCTGCTAAAGCCACCAGTGTAGTCTGAACCTGGGTCATGTTTCCATTCTCAAAAAGATCATTTGCTTCAAAAATGTCATGTGGCTTCATACCATATGCCTGAATAGCTTTAATAAAGTTGCCAATATTCTCCAACTACAAAGAAGAAGAGCAAGATATCTTTTAGAACTAAATGTTAACATTTTAAAAATCCTGTTATTGCCAGGTACAATAGCTCACTCCTGTAATTCCAGCTACTCAGGAGGTTGAGGTACTTGGTGAGACATTGTCTCTAAATAAATTAAAATGGCTGGGGATATAACTCATTGGTACAGCACTTGCCTAGCATACACATGGCCCTGTGTTCAATAACCAGCACCTCAAAAAAAAAAAAAAAAGAAAAAGAAAAGAAATCCTAAGTCTATGACTAGTTAGAAGATGCCAGACAGAAAGCTACTTGGCAAGTATTCTTAACCACATACATACTAAGCATAGTGTTCTCTCTCGCTCGCTCTCTCTCTGGAAAAGGAGTTATATAATGGTTTAATATTTTTAAGGCTTCTAATGGCAAAATCTTCCTTACATATTTTTAAGACTTCTGTCAAAGCTATTCAGACCTGGAATTTTCTTTGTTAAGTTACATAATGCCAGGTATGGTGGTACGTACCTGTACTAAGTGGTTCAGGAGGCTGAGTCCCTAAGCAACTTAGTGAGACCCTGTCTCAAAATAAAAAGGGCTAGGGATGTGGCTCAGTGGTTAAGCACCCCTAGAGTCAATCCCTGGTACCAGTCAATCAATCAATATGGCTACTAATCTCCTGTTCTCTCATCTCAAAACATACACAGATCAAATAAATTTCCAATGTTACATGTACATTCATGAGTTGAGATCATGTCTGACACAGTATTCTGTAGTCAGTCAGTAGTTATGTTAAATGCCTTGCTTTCTCCTTCACTTATTCTTATGGTCTAGATTGTATTTCTCTGTGTAAGTTGTGTCAAATCCTTTCTAAATGCATACACATTGAATATAGGAAAACTTCTAAGTTAAACACTACTGATATTAGAACCCGTTCAATAAGTAATAATGGAAACCCTTATTTAAATTGCATAAATAAATACAGCCACATGCATAAATTTCTGCTAATATCTCTATTTTAAAATTGTAATAAAAAATAAAACAAAACAAAACAAAAAAAACCCGGAAGTTTTCCTCTACATAAAGAGAAACCAACCAGGACAAGAGAGTGCTAGTTTGGCTGTTACCTGAGGCCAATTTAATGAGGACTCGTTGACCTTCTTCACGGAGCCTGGCTGTAGCTTGTTTATAAGTCTAAAAACAAAAATATAAGTCACCTTACTGGCCACACATAAACAAGGACTGGAATATTACACTGGCTCCCTTAATATCAGTAAAGCAAAAACATTAAACACATTCTCAGAATAACAAGATCTGACACCCTGGACCAGGAGGAAGCAGGGTCAGACCGAAGCCTGCAGAAAGGACCAGAAGAGAAGTGGACTCCTGGAGGTCTAACTTACTCGCAGAGTATGATGCCATCCTTTAGGCCCAGCTGGAAGTTGGTGCCAATGCTCATGCCTGTCACCTCTTCTATCCAATTGCGAAGATCCTCTTCCGCCTGGTGATCATACTTGGAAGCAATCTGAAATACATGTGAACTAACTTCAGAACACCATCTCCACAGCATCACAGACTGCTGACTCACAATGCGCTCTGCTTTCGTTCACTATCCATCCAGACCACATCTGTGACAGGCAGTAAATTACACTCTAAATAGAGTTCATTGGTGAACTTAATCGACGGTTACAGCTTCAGGAACTAAGCACAAATTGTGAAGACAGTATGATACAAAAATCTGAAGAGCAAGCACATATAGAGAAGCTGGGGCTGAGAGCAGAAAAAGATCCATCAAGATAAAACAGTCCCATTCAAGATGCAGGGCAAATGACAAAAAAGTGACAAGGATTTAATAGTGTGGTACAATCTGCCATCGACCATGGCTTAAACTTTAAAGATTAAGTCATTAATCATCATATTCTTAAAAAGGAAAAACAGATGGGAGAGGATTCTGATGCATGCAGCTATATCACACAGCAACTCAGCTGGCTGAAGCATATCATTCCAATCGTTGTGTTGCCTGGAAAGTACTGGTGTTTGCCTTCTATTCAACCTAATACTTGCTACACACTACACACACACACACACACACTTTCCTCAGTACTAACTGTACTTATGATATCTAAATTCTGTTAGTGTAGTTAGTCTCTGTCCTATTAGACTCCTCACAGGAAGGCAAAGCATTTAATTCACTTTTGGTACACAGCACAGTGCCATGACACTCAAATGTTTATTAAAACTAAAGAAAATTGGTTAATTTTTACAATAAAGTCAACTTACAAACACAGACACTATGGTATTATTACACATGTTAAAACTACCTGTTAAACACAGGTTTTAAAAGATCCCTTCATAATAAGAATACCACAGAACTCAAATTTTAAAAATATAAATTTTATGAAAAAAAATCATATACTCAAGTTCTTAAGCTATTCCTGCCCTAGAGGCTGGTCAATGAGTTATTAGGAAGAACACAGCAGGGGACAAGGAAAGATCATGTATCATTTGTCTCCATTCAGCACAGGCAAAAGTGCCAACTACATACACATAGGTGAAGCCCAAGGGACAGAGTTCATGGGGGAGTCAACTGCAGCATTTCTGGAAATGGAAATGAACAGAAGAAATGTTTGCTGTCCGTAAAACATAATTAGGTTGGATTACTGAACGAAATGGCACCATGACATTTGGTCACGAGGAGGCCCTTCCAGCCCCAGTCTAACAAGTCACGCAATAACCACGCACAACTGAAGGAAATACTTAGTTAGGCTCCTGGTGCCAGAGTGCAAAACTGGAGGCTACTCTCAGGTTCTTTTCAAATGTGAGAACTATGGTCAGCAGGAGCAGGACAGACATTAAGCAGGTGGCCAGCTTACTTTCAAGTCACCCAACAGTGAAAACCAGCACTGAGTCTTAAAAGCAAACTGTCATACTTGATTACAGTCCCTGTTCATGTGGGTCCACAGTCATGATAGCCTAGTTCCCAAGATAGGAAAAATATTCTGTTTCTCAAGTCACATAAGTGGAAGAGTCATGTCCCCCTCTTGCAGGCTCACTGTGTGCCTTCACAGGCCCTGGAATGTTATTAGACTACACCTGAGGTTTTCAGTGATACTCTCTCCATCCCGCACCATCAAGAATGAGGTTCTACTCTTGAGATAGAGAGGAAATGACTTCACTAATCAGTGTCATTTAGAGCCAGTTCTTTATCCCCTATAAAACTCACTCCCCCAAATGAGAGAAATGACTGTACAGTATAATGAATAATTTAAACTGTAGATTTACTTAACCAGGAGTACAAAAGGAAACCCAACAAGTTGGTATCCACCCCCCCCCCCCCTTTTTGGGCAGTACTGGGGATTAAACCCAGGGCCTTTCACAACTAGGCCAGTGCTCTATCTCTGAGCTATAATCCCAACCCTTTCTATATTTGGGGACAGGGTCTCATTAAATTGCCCATGCTGGCCTCAAACTTGCAATCCTCCTGCTTCAACCTTCTGAGCAGCTGGGATTATAGGCATGTTTCACCATGCCCAGAAAGTTTATATTTTCATACTAATATAACTAACACTGCAATTTGCATGAATCAAATATTCCCTGGAAGTTAGTTTATAGAAGAGTGCTCAGACACAATGCAAAGCTACCTAATGTGTGGCAATATTCCTGCCCCCTCATATCTTCATTCCCTGAAAAACATTGTATTTTTAAATTTTGTGCCAGTTTGGGTTAAACTGACCTCTGGAGTGGGGATCAACAAAGGGGAGACAGGGATGATTTTGACAGAGATGTACCTTGTCTCTGGTAAAGAGGAAGCAATCATAGATAAATATTCTTGGATAATTTATCTCCTCCAACATATCAAACAAATTCACTTATGTTATGGTACCTTTAGAAAATGGAATAGATATTAAATTGTAGACAAACTTTTAACTCTTGACTATATTCACACCAGAGTATTGTTCTAGGTGGAGAAAAACTCTCCATATAAACAAGAGGCACAGACAGAAGGGGACAGGCAAAGACAAGAAGGAGAAGCCAGTACGCCTTAAGTACTAGCTCCAGAAGGCAAACTCTGATCATAAGTTGATTTATTTGAATAGTGAAGGAGGCACTCTCAACTAGGAGATGTGTTTCAATAGATCTGAAGAAAGATATAATATAGTCAGGTGAGGAATTCTGCCTTGATGCCAGCTGTCTTTGCTATGGACCAAATTTGTCTAACTTTGGATCCAATTCCTGGCTATCTGACAGGAAGGCTGAATTCAATGAGTACACCAAATCCCTTCCTACTCTAACTATCTACACAATGTGGTCAATCATCGAAAATTGTAAGGAGCCATGCATGGTGGCACATGCCTATAATCCCAGCCTCAGGAGGCAGAGGCAGGAGGATGACAAGTTCAAAGCCAACCTCAGCCAACTCAGCAAGGCCCTAAGCAACTTGGTGAGACCCTGTCTAAATAAGAAATAAATAAGCACTGGAGGTGTCGCTCAGTGATTAAGCACCCCCGGTTCAATCCCCTGTACCAAAAAAGAAAATGAAACTTTTGTGAAGAATTATTCTCAGTTTTTCAAATACAGAAAAAAGTATGTGGCAAGTTGTTTTTTTTTTTTTTTTAATCATGATGGTTTGTATACCAAATAAGGCCAATGTTATTTAACCAGAAAAATATGTATAAAAGCATATTTATATTCCCTTTGTTTAAAATGCATCCAACAGATTTGGTACCATACCCCAAACCACAAAGTGATTACAGACCTGACTCCTAGATCCCAGTGAGAAATTTCCATCTTGCTTTCACAGTTCTCCTCAAGGGAAATACAAAAAAAAAAATCAAGTGATGGAGTCAAATGGACCTGCTTCACATCTCAGCCTTAACAATAATGGGTTGTGGAGTGGGGCTCTGGCAGGTGATTCTGACTCTGACACCCGCTACAACAGCATATGCACAGAAGCAATTCCCAAGTACATCCATGCAAAGCTTGATGCCTGATAAACTAAAACTCAAAAACTAGGATTGCATCAGGTTCATAGTATTGTTGGTTTTGACTCACAGTTTCCCTTTAACTAAAGGAGTAACAAAGATTTTTTTCACCCAAGTACCACTAATATTTTTCTAAAAAGTGGAGATTCCTACAGTCAACCTAGCTAAATACTATTGCCTATTAAAATCAAGGGACTGAAGACAATAAAAAAGTAAGCTTTGAGTAGGGTATGGGGCACACACTTATAATTCCAGCTACATGGGAAGCCTGGGGCAGGAGGATCACAATTTCAAGGCCAGCCTGGGCAATTTATTGAAATAAAAAAAAAGATGGGGATATAACTGAGTGATGAAGCACTTCCTTAGCATGTGGGAGGCCCTGGGTTCAATTCCCGGTATTAGGGGGTAAAAAGGTAAACTTTGGCTAAGAAAATTTATTCACTAGTTACATCTAAAAAGCTTTCATATTTCTGAAGATAGGGCAGAAAATGATGGTATTTTCTTCCTGTAACAACAACAACAACAACAAAATGTTAGCTTTAACAATCTTACACTCATATCTCATGGAAATTTCACTCTAATTTTTTTGAACGGAAAAAAGTCACCCTTTGAGCTGTTTAGTTTATTTTCATCATTCTTCAAGATTTATTTTACCTAAAGTTCTAAAGCTACTTTCTCAGACTTCCAGCCTGAGTCCAAGCAACAAGTCCACAGCAGCCCCTTTGTTTATATACCCACTTTTCCTTCACAAGTTCTCCGCAGAGGTGCCTCCCAACCTTTTTCATGTCAAAGTGTGCTCAACATGTGTGCTGAAGGCTCCTCACTGAAGCTCCCCAACCTCCTCTTATCAAACACCCTCAAGACCAAGAAGATGAAAACCAAGGGAAAGGCCTCAGAGCACTCGATGGGTTGACCATCCTCCCTGTCACTCAGTGCTAGCCTGTTCTGCTCTCACTCCTGTGGCTGTGCCAACTGTCCTTCCCACTCTTCCTGAGGCTTCAGGAGGTCCTGGGCTCACCCCAGGGGGCTTCTGGTTTCCTCACAGCCTCTGCAGTTTGCTTTCTCAGGATGGCACCAGTTTGGAGTCATGCTTCAGTTCAAATGCAAATCAGCCATTTCCAGTTGCCTGGCCTTTCTTTAGACCTCCCTCACTTAATCTTTAAGAGCTCTAAAATAACATTAATTTTTAAAGAAAATTAAACAGCTCATAAGAATGTAGAGCAGGCATTCTCAGCAAGCTTAACTTGGGGGTGATACTGACCCTAAATGTGGCCCCAAACTGGTCCTTGTGGATGGTGAAAAGAAAATCAGATTTTATAAAAAGCTTGGCACCCTCCAAATAAAGGAATATTATTCCTTTGTGTTAAATCTGGCAGAGCTGGGAGGCAACTGGGGAAAAGATCTAAATTATGAATTACTCCAGGGGACAGTGATAATGAAAACAAGGATAAGAAAACGTTAAGAATAATTAAAATGTACTGGTCTCTCTTCACTTGGTATCCTTTGGCCACATCTTCCTGACCATGGATATTTTCTATAGCTC